CATAGGGTTACCCAGCATTCATTTCGCCCGTACCCAAGGCCATTTATTCCTTGGCGCGCTTTGTTAAATAGAAACAAAAATTAATGCCACATCAGTTTAAGTCTTTGACCTTATCTGCCGTGAAGGTGGCTTTTTGAACGCCCGCTTTCATGTCCCACATGATCAGTGTCTTTTCCTCATACGACACCACCAAGTCCCCTTCTGACGCGATGACGTCAATTCGAAGATTGCTGAAATGGCTGCTGGGAAGGATATGAAGGGCGGTCCCTAAAAAGCGTGACAAAACATGAATAAGTTTGGTAAAAGAAACACATTACCGTGTCTAACCTTCAAAGATTGTCCGTGAGGGAGAACCAAGAGGACTCGCCCCAGGGTAAAAATGCAGAGGCTGTCTGTTCGGCTCCAGGGATGTTGCTAAGGCCCCGTCCACATTCCGCCGAAGGAATTTGAAAACGCAACAATCACCGGTCATTTTGTATTTGTGTTTGGGCAAAACTCGGTCAGGAAAATCACATAATTATCGCGGTGACGCCATGGTTATCGAAGAGCTTCGTTTTCAAAATGTTTTCCGTCCACACGAAAACGTAATGCCGGAGTTTTCAACTTTCTCCGGTTTAAAGAGCGTTTTCGAAAAGCTCCGTTTCCGTGACGGATTAGTGTGGACGGTAGAGATAAAGCTGGGTTTTTAAATTTCTCTGGCGTATTTCAATCAAAACAAAGGCTTGGGGTAACTTATGGCCATTGGCAGTCTATTTGCCCAGAGCCGGCCCTTGATAAAACGCTTCGTTACGTTTGGGATGATGATAGAGAAATGGATAAAATTTAAAATTGTCCCAGGAGCCCACTAGCAAGTCTGATGTTACTCTAGTGCCATGCGTTAAGAATAAAACAGATTTAAATTTGTTACTTGTACTTGAGAACTTTTGTAATGCCTAAGAAATCAAATCTTCTGGTCGTACCTTCTAAAATGTTCCAACAAACTAGCTGTGACGGCTCACAAAGACTTGCACATAGTAGTATGTTCAAGTCCTTGTGAGCCGTCACAACCAAAGAAATGACGTCGGTGTCATTCGCATTCCGCCAGTCATGCGCAAGCTTTCCTAAAACATCAAGACGTCGAGCGCGAGAGCGACCTCTACTTTTTGCCTTTCCCCAGCCCCACCCCCTTGCGTTTTGGCTTGTTCATATCCCACGCGCCGGGTTAATATTTTGCTGAGCTTGCGATCACGACGAATTCAAGACAAAATAGAGGGTCTGTGGACATACTGGTCTCCACACACAGTTATAGCACTATCTAGAGTTCTCTTTATGATGTGATGTCAAGATTCTCCTTACAGTGTCTTCTTTTCACTTAAATTACCCTCCAAACATCAAACCACAAACCACAACCTCAGGCAAACAACTTCCCCATCCAATTTATCGAGATATCGGGCAAAAAACGAGCCGTGAAAATTTAAACGCGTCCAAACGTTTGGGCTTTTGATCATGATGAAGTACACTTATAATGGCCTCTAAGCTCAAAACGAAAACACTGTGCACGTTTCTCAAGCGGTATTAAGTGCCGTGAGTCCCTCATACGACTGTCGAACAATAAAAGACGACGACATCAAAAGACCCCAAAAATATAAAGCGAGAAAAATAGCAGGTACAGGTACACTTAAAGAAAAAAATGCAACTTGAGCTTAACTGAATGCATCTTACCTGTGAAGTATTTCACCAGTTTCAAATGAAATCACCACTATGCCTCGTTTAAACGAAGCCACGCTGATCTCATTGTCACAGCAACACATGATCATGCCAATCTCTTCTCCAGCTTCCGGCACGGTCAGCAATAAGGAGCCATCGCTGATGTCCCACGCTTTCACCACACCGTCCTCTGCGCCTATAACAAAATGGCCGCAGTCAGGAGTCGACGCTCAATTCACCCATCAGACACGAGAGAATTTTGGCGCGAAAATCGCGGCCAATCAGAGATTACACGGATCTCTGAAGGACTACGTCATCAAAAATTTTTCAGGTCGAATCGACCGGACGAAGATTTGAGGGTGGAAGAGTTACGGCTCTGTCGAGTCTGTTTAAAGGGGAATCTTTTTTTACAATATTTGCCTCATTAGCGTAAGTGAACAGTTTTTGATGGAGTTACATAAACATTAGCTCTGAATATATAAAGGACACAGCACAATTAACCGTCCTAAGGAATTTTTGCCCGATATATTGAAACTTTTTGTGCGAGGCGGGTCTAAAATCTCAAAATTTTACGAAGGATGTACGAGCTTATTAGCGCTTCTGTTTACCAGGAATTTTGCAATTTTTGAAAGCCAATTTCTCCTCGAATATAACACCCAAAGAGCCCAATCTTTTGCCAGTTACTAAGTTTTACAAGCTCTTTAAATGTTTGTAGTCAGTTCGTGCCTATTGCGATGCCTTCTCTACGTTAAGTTTTATGTTAACGAGGAAAATGTAAACAATGACGTCAGAAATGATTTTCGCCTATTCAGATTAATTACAAAACAAAGCAACAACAGCTTTTAAACTGTAACAGTGTTATCCAAAAATTACCTGTAACAACGTATCTACGGTAACTGGTGGCAGCGAGTCCATGGACTGTGCTGGCCGAGTGTCCAACTAACGTCTGTATTAACTGTCCGCCAGGAGGGGTTAAAAAAGCTCTCAGGGGGATGGGATCAGTGTGGGCTCTGGTGGGCTGCGAGAATCCTGGACAAGCTTAGAAAGTATCTGAAGTTAGAAAAGGTGATGGTTAGGCCAGAATTACAGCACACTTGGCGACCACCAGTGAAATAAACGTTCAAGACCGCCCAAGTAACAGTAAAATAGAAGTAATTGATTGATTCATAACTTCATGTAAGGAAGTGTTGTCTTCATATTCCGACAAGAATCCTTGTTTGAATTCCGTGACTTTTCCCGCGCTTGCCGCAGGTTATATGTTTTGTGTAATACTCGAGGAGAAATGTAACCCGCGCTTTCCGCGGGTTACATTTTTCCCGCAATTTCTTTGGGGTTACAATCTTTCCCGCCCTTGCCACAGATTACATGTTTACCCGCGTTTGCTACCCGTAACAAGCTCTTCTGCGCTTGCTGCGAGTGCTAAAAATACAAAAAAAAGTTTCATTCCTCGCAAACCAACACTAGATCAATCTCGTCACCCTACAAATGAAACCAACAAGTTTCAAAACAAAACGCAAAATCGCCCAACCGGAACTAAGCGCGGGAAACACGACGCCAGTTCGAATTAGTTTACACACGAGTTTAGATTAAAATACAGACTCACTAATTCCACTTAACTTACTTAAGTTATTACTACAAAAGCCAAAAAGGCTGTTACCCTACCTAAGAGAATGCGCTGTTATTTTTATACTGAGCCAAAGTTACACAGCACTTCACTTTTTAACTCGTCCCATCTTTCGCTGCGCATCAGATGAACGGGAAATTCGTGTGGTTTACTCAAATTGTATCTGCCTTTAGACAATATCAGAGGTTGTCCTGAAATACTCGCCAAGCGCACGTATTTGCCATGAATGAGAGTCGACTCCTTCGTATTCTCCGCTGCACAAAAAGGAAACAAAATTGTTCTAGACCTGCTAATTCTGTGCGATAATCGCTTTTTCCACTGTTTCTAACAAAATGAAGCCTTTTCGCGACCTGCTTTACAAAAGTTACATTTGATAGTCGATGCTGCCACCTAACACGATAACAATAAGCGCTTCTGCCTATCTTAAATCTTACTTTTGAGAATTTGGCGGTTGATCAATACAAATTGTAACCCTAGCTGACGAATTCCTTTAATCTCAACACCTTCATGCCTAACAATGTAATGATATAAGGAGAAATTAGATGTTGAACAATCTCGCTTACCAA